TAATTACTAATGTTACTGACTAAAATTATTGCTTAAAGTTCATTTCACAACAGGATGCTGTTTATTTTTACAAATGGGTCTCAGGGTTCGGTGACTCTTATTTTGAAATTACAGCCCTGGCTTTGTGATATGGGTGTGGTATTGTAAACTGCTGCTCTACAGTGGCAGTTAAATTGTGATTAATTTAATGTTCAAATTATATGTTAAAGAGACAGTAAATAACGTGATACTACAGTCACATGCACCTCAGAAGATCATCTTTGCCTTGAAAAATTACCCTATATAGATGCCATGATTTTGAGTCTCAAGTTTTTTTTTTCTGAAGTGATACTGCTGCAACTGACAATTAGACTTTGAAATTTCTCTTTACACAATTTTAAAGCATAAGTAAAAAATAAAGTAATAATATATTCTAGATGATTTTAATATGTATCACATCGTGTATTAAACTACGCATATTGTACTTATTTTTACATATATCATAATAATTCTGTAGACTATAATAGTCATGAAGCTATTATTATTATTGATATTGATATTTTAAAAGTGGCCCCATAAACCCATACGCCGATGTTTTTTCTTTTTTGCCAATATAGCCAAGTAGCTGTAATTATGGAACCTTTATTTTGAAAAATCGTATTATGACATAATTCACTTAGCCGGAAGTGACTCTCAATCTTTATTTGCAGAGGAGCGCTCGTCCCGTTATTCTCTGTAATTGTTTTTTTATCAATAATTTTTCTGTGTTTTTCGAATAGACAAATTACTGATTTCGGCGGAATAGGAAAGCCCAGAGTGGCATTGCCTGCCAATCTGTAGAAATGTCATAAATATGGTGTAAAGAAGCGAGCTTTCCAGTCGGTGGGCGATTTTTTTCTTCATCACTAAGAATCACCGGGAGGAATTTCTCTGTTTTATCAAACGCAAGTATGTCAGGAAAACATTTCAACGTGCACGAAGTGGGCTGTTGCATCAAATACTTCATATTTGGATTTAATATTATATTTTGGGTGAGTTATGCATTTTTGACATTATGGGCGAGCTGTGAATGTACAGTCTTGCATTTTGTCGCCTGGGATTTGCATTAAAACAACCTCTAGGTGTCTGACACATTGGCCGTGCCTCAAAACCTAGTAAGCTGCCTACCTACAGCATTGTCGAACGTTTCAAACGCGTTTATGGTGGCCAAATGCTGTCGAACGTTCTAAATTCACCTATGAAACCCCAATTTGTGTTGAATGCCATGCTACAAATATATATATATATATATATATGTATGTATATGTATATGTGTATGTGTGTGTGTGTGTCGAACGTTTCAAACGCGTTTATGGTGGCCAAATGCTGTCGAACGTTCTAAATTCACCTATGAAACCCCAATTTGTGTTGAATGTACGGAGGCTGATTTAAGGCATGCCATGCTACAAATATATATATATGTATGTATATGTGTATGTGTGTGTGTGTGTGTGTGTGTGAGAGAATATTCCAAAGGGAGCTTATCTTGGCCAGAATTGCAGTTTGAACATTCCAAAAGCGCTTATGAGGTCCAGAAATGCATTTAGAACATTCCGGATGCTCTTATGTTACTAGAAATAATGTTCAGACGTTCCAAACTCTCTTTATGCTGCTAACAAATGCTGCTAAAATGCTCGAAAACAGAAATGCTGTTAAAACGTTCCAAATGCATATATAATGTGAAGAAAACGAGGTTTGAACGGTCCTAACATGCTTATGATGGCCAAAAATGCTGTCAGCTGTTGCAATCATGCTGTCTACGCAGGCAGCCAACTTGGTTTTGAGCCACAACCCATGTGTCAGGTGGTTTTTTGCCATAATAAAAATCTATAAAAATATGTACTTAACCACAAACAAAATTTCAAAGGTAATTTATAGTGCTTATGCTAAAATACATCATTTATAATTTATTATGCTTATGCTAATATACACTTTTTAGCTGCTGGGGGCGGCGTTCTTGTCCGTGGCTCTGTGGGCCTGGAGTGAGAAGGTGAGTGAAGCCCATCTTTTTACAAACACTTCATATATGAATCTATTTAAGTGAGATCTTGGTCTAATTAAACTGAAATTATTATTAGGGGCCAAGCATCGAAGGTGCTTAGGCATCTATTGTATCTGTTAGTTTTCTTATTATTATTCTTCCGCTTCTTCTTCTTCTGCTCGGGAAGTCTATGGCAGCCCATAGAACCACTTAGAAACATAGAATAGAATGTTCATAGAATCACATAGAAAGTTGTGAAATTTGGCACACAGAGGACAGTCTCAATATTAACCATAGCAAATCTGGAGTCTCTATCTCAATTCTCATCTCAATGACCTGAGGGCACATGAGTAGTTTCAGCATTTTGACCACCTACTGGTCAAAATATATAATATATATATATAATACATTTTTTTATTTATAATTTCTAAAATGTTTGACCAAAAATCATAAGTTAGATTCAGAGCGGCATACCTAATCAACCGATACCCAATTTTCCTATGTCAGACATTTTGAGTGTGGACTATTTCGAATTTTGTAGTAAAATGCTGTTTTTACAAACGCTTTAGCGTAGTTACGAATTTTATGAATCTTATAGAACTGATTGTGGGAATGATATGAAATTTGGCACACAGAAAGAGGTCAGTCTCATCATTAACCACAGCGAAGTTGGAGTCTCTAGCTCAAACTCTGTAGTGCCACCAACAGGCCAAATTTGCACTCATGTTTCTGCTAATAACTTTTGAATCGTAAGGTCTGAAAGCAAAATTCCTTTTTCCTCTGATTCCTTGGCACATATCAAGACGAATGCAATGTACATTTCTATGGGCCAAGATTTTTCGCAATGTGAAATTTTTCAAAAAAACAACTTTTTCCAACTCGTCCTAGACGGTTTGTCCAATTTTCAAACCATTTTTGTAAAGCGCGCTAACAAATTTGACAAAGTGTTGCAAAAATGGACATGAGGCTATATCTCCACAATGCTTTAATGGATACTGGCCAAACTTCTAACAAGCAAGACCTGAGGGCACATGAGTAATTTCGACACAGTGCCACCTACTGGTCAAAAGATATTTTAAAAGCTCAAACACACCTGAACCAGCTAATCAAGGTGTTCAGGGCTACTTTATTATAGACAGGTGTGCTGAAGCAGGGTTGGAACTTAAGTCTGCAGGAAGGTAGCTCTCCAGAAGCAAGGTTGGAGTAACTAAAGACAGCTCCTTAGCTCTTCATTTTACCTCTGTTGTGCTTGGTTGCTTAATTGCTGCTTGCAGCTATATTTATTTATTCTCAGTTTTGTTCCCATTTGTATTTCCATCAGGGGGTTCTCTCCAACATATCCTCCATCACAGATCTGGGCGGGTTTGATCCAGTGTGGCTGTTTCTCGTGGTGGGTGGAGTGATGTTCGTGCTCGGCTTCGCAGGATGCATCGGTGCTCTGAGAGAAAACGCCTTTCTACTTAAGTTTGTATGTTATGTTTTCTTTTTACCAGTGAGTTCAAGCAGACATTTTGAGCAATATTTACTTAGCACACCTTCCATCCACCATAAATATTTTATGCTCTGAATATTAAGTAAAGCATGAGTGTCCATTGTCTGGTTCATGGACTCACTCCAACTGATTTAACACACATATTTACGTGTATGGGATTACATCTCTGCCGCAATTCTGTGCGCGAAAGATCATATTTTGAGCGCGCAAAAGTGCGTTTTGCATGCGCGCGAACTGAGTTTTGTGGAGAAAATATTTGTCTCGCAAAGAAGAAAGTATTTCGAGCGCACGAAAATCAAGCCCTCAGTGCTCTCTAAATGCCAACAGCTCGCTTGCTCAACACAGCGCTACAATATGCCATAATTCCAGCCAATCAGACACTAGGCTGCTAAATTCTAATTGGCTGCCTTGACAACCAATCACAGCATTCCTTGCATTATCTCGACAGCAGAAGAGGAAAAATACAGTGCATGCATAATTATGCAAGTTGATATTCTGATCATATTTTTTTCCAAGCACATTTTACCAATTCCAAACGACATCTGTGACGGGTATGGCTGTGGACTGGGGTTTGGCTGAGGAAAAATTCAGTAAAATTTTTTTTTTTGCTTTAACCTCTGCATTGTCGCAGTACAGTGTTTATTATCTTAATGTTCTTTTTGAATGTCATCATTCAAAGTGTTTCTGTCTTTCATTCAGTTAGGGATAGCTGGCTGTTTTTGTCCATATTAGAAATTTCCTGGAGCGTCTGGAGTTCTATTTCTTCTATAATGTATATGTGGATTTTCTGCGCATCCAGTGTGAATGAAACACACATTACATGTGTTCATAGCACTAAATAATGGCCAATCCATAAAAATAATACTACTTTTTTAAAATCGCATTTAAAAATAGCAAAAAAGAACTAAACCAAAAACTGTGGTAAAAATTTTTAAAAACTGAGATATTTATTGAACCGTGGGCTAACTGTATTGTTGCATTGTTTACTCTGAAATACTGTATAACAGGAATATCACAAACTGAGTGCAGACCCTGATTATTAACCTATAAATTTTTTTTTTTAATTAAATCTCGCAAACCCCCCAAACCCTCCCACTCCCCGAGCCACACTGATGGTACTCAAAAAAATTTTCCAAGGTTGGCAGGTCTGTCATGCTCCTTCAACGATGAGGATCATCTCTTCGCTGACTCTGGAAGAAGCCGAGAGAAAGAAGCAGAGGAAGAAGCTCCAGCTCTGCTCGCCGCCGTCGAAGACGCCCGAAGCAGCGAAGACTCGCTGCGGCCATCCGGCGCTTGAAGAGCAAGTGGAGTATTCCTAAAGAGCAAATTTCTCCGCGCGCGTTGTTGCAAATGTCGTGCCGCGAGGAGCCTTGCATGTGATACCTCGCTCAGCCCTCCCGTTTCCTTTCTCTCCTAAGAGAAAGAAACAGCGGGGCAGCGGGTCTTTGTCAGAGCTTTGTCTTTGTCAGAGCTTTGTCTCAACGCCCGCGGGCCCCGCCCTCCCCTTGTTCTCTCGCCTTGCCGGTGTGCTTCACACAAGATGACCAGCGCCCCTCCTCGGTTGCGAGCGGCTTGGTTTCATTCGGCGTGTCTGAAGAGGACGCTGTCAGCGAGGACGTTATTGCTGACGACTACATGTCTTTGGCGGCATCTGACACAGAAGAGTGTGGAAATTCCGCCGATGAGCCTGAAGTCCCTCCCCCCTCTCAAGCTCCAAGGCCGAAGCCGGACGCCGAACTCATCCGCGTCCTGTCAAAGGCGGTGGAGGACATGGGCCTCGAGTAGTCGACTCCGGGAGAGCCCGCCCACGGCCTGTTGGACGAGTGGTACCTGCCGGGAAGCTGTCAACAGTCCTCTCGCCAACGCCCCGCCCCATTCTTGCCTGCAGTTCATGATGAGCTCACCAAGACGTGGCGCGCCCCCTACTCGGCTCGGGTAAATCCCTCTACAGCAGCAGCTCTCACCACCGTTGATGGAGCTGATGACAAGGGATACTGCAAGATCCCCCTTCTGGAGGAAGCGGTTGCTGCTCTTCTGTGCCCGCCATCTGCCCTTGCATTGAAGGCCCATGCAGCACATCTATCTAAGCCCTGCAGGACCACCTCAGCGCTCACCAACAGGGCTTATGCAGCAGCCGGCCAGGCCGGTTCGGCGCTGCATACAATGGCAGTTTTCCAGGTGTTTCAAGCCAAGCTTCTCCACGGCATGGACGAGTCTGGCCGAGAACACCAGGAGGCTTTCAAGGAGATGCGCACAGCGACAGATCTAGCTCTGCGGGCCACGAAAGCAACGGCGCAGGCGATCAGCAAGACCATGGCCAGTCTGGTGGTGCTGGAGCCCCACCTATGGTTAAACCTTACTGAGATCAGGGACGCTGAGAAAATGGCCTTCCTCGACTCACCAGTCTCGCCGAAGGGGCTGTTAGGCACCGCTGTGGATGGGTTTGCAGAGAGGTTTTTGGAGGCTCAGAAGATGTCGCAAGTGCTGCATCACTTCCTCCCCAGACGCTCTGGCCCCGTGGCTGTGAGCTGCCAGAAGAACCCCGCCACTCAGCCTGCAAAGCCAGCGCAGCCTCAGCTCCAACGAAAATCAGAGCCTGAGCTGCAACAGCGCTCCCGGACGGCAAAACGCTTCCCCTTCCCGAAGCGTCAAGGTCCCCGCCCACGAGTTGTGCTGGACCCCGAGCCGCCTAAGTCGTCCTTGTGCGCCAGAGAGAAAGAGGAGGGGCTCTGTTCTTGCCTCGGCTGGAACGCCCCGAAAAACAGCTCGTTTTCATTCTCCATCCCTCCGAGAACCTCTGAGCAATGGAGTTTCATTTCTAGCGGGTCACGCCCTGCAGGTGCAGCACGTACCTGAATGTTTTACCGCTGTGATAGCGGACCCACATACAATAAAGAGCAAAATTTCTCTTCACTCTCTCTCAATTCAATTCAGTTAAGCTTTATTAGCATGACTGTGTAACATAATGTTGCCAAAGCATTAACATATATATAACAACAACATAAATAATAATAAATAAAATCCATCTAAATAAATGAAAAGAAAAAGTAATTCAGTATCGAGTTAATCATGTCAACATCTAACATTGTGAATGGTTAATACATATTTAGCAGCTAGTGCAGCTGTGTTGTTATCTTCAAGTAAAAAGGGCATTTTCTCACATATTTAGCAGCTAGTGCAGCTGTGTTGTCATCTTCTCCAAGTAAAAAGGGCATTTTCTCAGTATCACTAAGTTCAGTAAATGATGGGATCAGGGCTTCAAATCTGGGGAGAAATGTTCCCCTCACATTGTGATATTTAGGACAGATCAGCAGAAAGTGTTTCTCGTTCTCTATTTGCTGTAGATCACAGTGTCTACAGATCCTCTGCTCTTGCTCTGTCCATGTTTGTCTATGTCTTCCTCTCTCTATTTCTAAATCATGGTTACTTAATCTGTATTTGGAGAGGATTTGTCTTTCTTTAAATGGTTTAATCAATAAATAATTGGCAAATTTAGTCGTTCTGTTTAGGGTTGAGTAGCATTGGAGTTTATTTTGGAGGTCAAAGTGTATTTTTAGAGATTGATCATGAGTGTCTTTTAGATTTTTGTCAATTTCTTTAATAAGAAATCTCTCTCTCACTCTCTTGAATGCGAGTTCCCCGTCACTTCTTGGCATGCTCTCATTCGAAAGAATAAACCCTCTCGCCTCCCGTTTCACGGCTTGGGCAGCCATTCCGGGAGTATCGGGTTGGGTTTTAAAAACAATTTGACGAGGTTACTCGCGCCAATTCGCTCGCAGGCCACCTCGCTTCACAGGCGTCATCCAAACTTCTGTTCCGGACAACAAAGCGCTCGTTCTCCAACAGGAGGTGCAGACGTTGCTTGCAAAAGGCGCTGTGGAAATAGTGCCCTCAGCGAACAGCGAGTCGGGCTTTTTCAGCCGCTACTTCCTCGTCCCAAAGAAAGATGGCGGGCTCAGACCCATTCTGAATCTCAGGCATCTGAACCACTCGCTTATGCGCCGGTCGTTCAAGGTGTTAACCATAAAACAGATCCTCGCGCACATTTGCCCCGAGGACAGGCTTTTGACTGTGGATCTGAAAGATGCATACTTTCACATTCACATAGCCCCCCATCACAGACCGTTCTTGAGATTCGCTTTCGAGGGAGTGGCCTATCAGTACACAGTCCTTCCGTTTGGACTGTCTCTGGCCCCGCGCACTTTCACGAAGTGCGTAGACACGGCTCTTTCACCTCTGAGACCGATGGGAATCCGTGTTTGAACTACCTCGACGATTGGCTGGTTCTAGCCAGAACAGAATGGGAGTTGGCTGCCCACAGAGAGCTGTTACTCAGCCACTTGGAGCGCCTTGGGTTGATCATCAACCCGCACAAGAGTTTAGACTCCGCCCAAATGCGGGCATGGGTTACGCCGGAACGATCCCTGACTATTCAGCGATTGGTGGCATCCCTCAAACCGGGGATGACATGCCCCCTAAAGGTTTTTCAGAAGTTGCTTGGCCTCATGGCGGCCGCTGCCTCTGTGATTTCTCTGGGCCTGCTTCACATGCGACCCCTTCAGTTTTGGCTCAAGGCCCGCATTCCACCCCACACTTGGCGCCTGGGGCAGCTTCCTGTCATGGTAAACCACCGCTGTGTCAAGGCGGTGGCCCCCTGGACGACCTCTTACCTGTTCCAAACAGGAATGAGGTTAGGCACGAGCTCCAAAAGGAAGGTAGTCACGACAGACGCCTCCAACTCCGGTTGGGGCGCCCTGCTGGAGGGCAATCCGGCGTTCGGCTCCTGGTCAGCCCCGGAGCAACGCCTGCATATCAACTGCCTAGAGATGTTGGCAGTTTTCTTAGCCCTGAAAACCTTCCTTCCGGCCTTGAAAGGGCACCACGTCTTGGTCCGGTCGGACAGCATGACGGTGGTGGCTTATATCAATCATCAAGGTGGTCTCAGGTCACACACTCTTTGCAGGATGGCTCGTCGCCTCCTCTTTTGGGCACACAGGGCGCTCCTCTCGCTAAGGGTGGTTCATGGGCCGGGCAGATTGAACCTTGGCACAGACATGCTGTCCAGAGGCAAGGTAGCCCCGGGCGAATGGGCGTTACACCCTCAAATGGTTCAAGAGATCTGGTCAGTCTTTGGGAAGGCAGAGGTCAACCTCTTTGCCTCAGAAGACAACACTCACTGCCCAACATATTTTTCAATACAGCGAGATGCTCTGGCCCACGATTGGCCCAGTGCTCGCCTATATGCTTTTCCCCTGATCGTCCTGATTCCTCAGGTCGTCAGGCGGGTCAGGGAGACCAAGTGCTCTCTCCTCCTAGTGGCCCCGCTCTGGAGGAACCAGGCCTGGTTCCCGGAGCTAGTGCCACTCTCAGCTGCAGCCCCGTGGCCCATTCCGCTGAGGGGGAACCTTCTCTCGCAGGCGAAAGGCATGATTTGGCATCCCCGGCCGGAGCTGTGGAGCCTTCATGTATGGTGCCTCAGCAGCTACACAAACGTGAACAAATCAGGCTTCAGTACAGAGTAAAACAGGAGTTTTGCCATACACAACGCTCGTTCCCTTATCTCAGGGAACCGAGGTTACGTCAGTAACCGGAGCGTTCTATCGTTCCGAAGTCAATGGGTTTTTGAATAGGTTTTTGGTTAAAAGCCTGAAATAAGGTGTGTGGTTAACACAAGCCCAAGATATTTTCATAAGAAATCATCAGTAATACCCACTTGGAAAAACTGCCTATGGAAAAATCGTATTGAGTTTTTCCTCAAGGGAATCAGGGTGATGCAAATTTTTCCAGGTTCTACAAAATTTTGTCATCAGTGCAGCACTCCATTCCAGTATTTGTAAGGCAGTAAAAGGATTGTGCTAAAGCTTTAGGTACATTTAAAGTTTCAGTCTTTGGTTTGGCGTAAGTGCCTTGAACTTGTTGTCATGGCACACATCTTATCTACATGATGATGTGTTTTACACAATGCGTTTCTGTGTCCTGTTTTGCAATGTACACATTAAAAGTAAAGGTTCCAGAAGAGGATTTTCACAGTGATGACATAGAAACCCAAAAAGGTTCTGTGGGAAGATTCTTACAAGATCAATTCTTAAAAGAACCATTTTTATCATTTTAATAATCTAAAGAATTCTAAGAACCATTTTAATAATATAAATATTTTTTTTGCTCTATAAAGAACCTTGAACAACCTAAATGATAAAAAAGTAGGGCTATGCAAATAAATACAAGAAAGAAGGATAATTAGTTTAGTTTGCAAATATTACAACGATGTATAGACTGCCTGTTAGATTATTAAAGGCAATATTTTAAAATGACAATTCAACATGATCAGACTTTAAACCCAAAGCTGAAATTATTTACAAAGAAAATTTGAATGGAGTCTGTATTGTACTGTATATGAAGTGGTTGAGCTGAATTCATTGCAAAAGTTTAATACTTGATCCCTAACCTGAATGTTTGAGATAAAACTAATACAATGCTGCTTTGCAAATACTGTAAACAAAATGCTTATCTCAGCCGTGTGCAGACATATGTGAATAGAGAGTGCAGGTGGTTAATCACATTTTTGAATGGCTGGATATGGGTAGCTACGTAGGTAGGTAAGATTGACTGGTTTGAATGTGGTTTGAAAGTGTGTGAACTTCCTCTCACGCAGGTTCTGGGGGTCTGTGTTACTCCTTTCATATGAGAGGATGCTGTGAGAGCTTTGTGGGAATGTCAAGAATGGTGTTGCGAAAGTATTACAAGAGGCCCGTTTCCTCTGTAGGGTAACGGAGGCTTTCTTAAAACATCTGGAAACACCAGATGAACTGTGATGTCAGTCGGGAAGTATTCATTGCGGTCACAGTGACAAATCATTGCTCACTGTACTTGTATAAAACATTGTGTGTGCAGTAGGAGATGAATGTTGTGAAAATGTGACTGTTTTGAGATGGGAAATGAGGAGAACTGCGTCATCTCTAAAAAATGTGAATTTCTCTGTAAATGTTTCGAGGGATGTTGGCAGGGTTAGGAATCATAAACCAGAAAAAAATCACTTCGTTTAATCTGCTGTGGGAATTTAACACATTCTTGATTTATTGGAGACCTTTAAAGCTGATATTATCCATCATGAGTTGTGTAACCAGAACTCTGCTGTCCTCTTCCGCAGTTTTCCGTTTTTCTGGGAATCATATTTTTCCTGGAGTTGACCGCGGGAGTCTTGGCGTTTGTCTTTAAGGACTGGATTAAAGACCAGCTCAAGTTCTTCATCAACAACAATATTAGAGCATACAGAGATGACATTGACCTACAGAATCTCATCGACTTCACACAAGATTATGTAAGTACACACTGGCACACGCATAAAACCAAACCAAGAAAAGTGTTTATTTTTTTTTATTTATTTTTTTTTTTAAGGTAAAGTTACTTTTTTGTGGTAATGGCAATTTAATGTGCAAACATAAGTCTAAATCAATAAGTATGCCCTTCTGAAATGTTTCTGTTTATTTTGCTGGTATAATAAAAATCAGAGGATGGATTAAAATGTGTAAAAGTGACAGTAAAGAGTGTTGGGCGATATGCTTCATAGTCATATCATCCTATCGTCAGCCTGTGAGATCACCGATACACAATATCATCGTGCTAATTTATTTAATTATTATTATCATAGCCAGAGAGTGAACCAACTCCAAGGTACAGCTAAAAGCAGCCTAATGTTAGTGTAATCTACACATTATATCTTTTTTGTCAAGTAGCTTATGGATGTCATGTCATAAAATATTTTTAATATGCGTGAATTTGTAATTAACATGATCACAATTTAATAAAAACATTGTAAGTTACTAATTATAATGCTTACATTACCTCAGTTATACAAACAGCAGCTACAGAAAACGAGCGAAGAACATTTACATCATCAAAGAACATCATCTTAAAGGGATAGATGAAAATTCTGTCATCAATTATTCATTTGAAATAGAATTCCTCATTAATTACTCTCAAAGCTACGAGAATACTTTTTGTGCGTAAATAAAACCAAAATAAAGACTTCATTCAACAATTCGTCTCCTCCTCCATTTTGGAGAGTATCACATACGTAAACAACGTATGCTGTTCTGTGTCAGCAGCACTGTACGTGGATGCGCTGCTTACGTTGTTTGCGCTTTGATCTGAACGTAAACGGCGTATCCGCGTATATACATTGCATACGTTGTTTACGTATGTGATACTCTCCAAAATGGCGCTATAGGGTGACACGGAGGAGACGAATTGTTGAATAAAGTCGTTATTTTTGTTTTCTTTGCGCACAAAAAGTATTCTCGTAGCTTCGTTAAATTATGGTTAAACCACTGATGTCACATGAACTATTTTAACGATCTCCTTGCTACGTTTCTGGACCTTGATCGTGTAAGGACCCTTGCTGTCTATAGGAGGGTCAGAGATCTCTCAGATTCCATCAAAAATATCTTAATTTGTGTTCTGAAGATGAACGGAGGTCTTACGGGTTTGGAACGACATGAGGGTAAGTAATTAATGACAGAATTTTCATTTTGGGGTGAACTATCCCTTTAAGTCTAGCGTGAGTTTATGCACTTAAAAAAACACTCCCATTATAATCAGTTATGCTACATCTTAAACTTGCATCACACATACATCTGCACTTTGTTGTTTATGATGAGAGGATTCGCGAGAGAGCACTGAACTACAAAACTCTGGTATTTCAGCGAGGACTCATCTGAACGCTTCTGATTGGCCATTGCATTCATAAGCTCAACCGAATCGTGTGTGATTGGTTATAATGCGCAACACTGTAAAAATGTGTAAAAATAAATTTGATGACACAAATAAGCCCTAATATTAATTAGATAATAATACTAGCCTAATAAAAATAATAATCTTGATACTGTCAAAGGCATCAACCACAGGCGATATCTCGGACTATCGTTGATACACGATACTTTGGTCTATCAGCACAACCCAAGTAAAGACATTTTTACTGTTACAAAAGAATTCTAGTTCAAATGCTGATCTTTTGAATTTTCTATTAATCAAAGGATACTGGGAAAAAAGGTAACCTATCACGGTTTCCACGAACATGTTAAGCAACACTTTCAACATTCAACATTTTCTTGAGCAAAAAAACATTGTTTTATAGTTATTTTCAATTGTAACAATATTTCACAGTATTATTGTTTTTACTGCTTTTTTGATCAAATAAATGCAGCTTCTGTAAGCGTCTTACTAATTCTCCCCAAACTTTTGAAAGGTAGCGTTGGAGCTTTGATATAGCTTACGCTCCCTAACAATTTAATAAACAGGGCCCTCTGATGCATTAAAACCCATTGTCTTAATTTATCTCCAGTGTCTTGTGAGTGCTCTTTCATTTCAGCAGCTGTCCTTCGAATTTACAACCGAAATGCAATCTGCCAAGCGTGGTTATTTTATTGATTTATAGACAGCTGTGTCCTCTTTAGAGCATATAATAGTTTAGAATTGAATTTTGCATTAGATTTAATAATGTCCAGGAAGCCACATGTCAAACACAGTGATGATTAATTCAGTGTCGTTTTGTTTCGCCTGATATAAAAACCTTTTCCCTGCTTCTAGATATTTGGGATCTGCCTGGCACAGAATCTTCTGAGTGACATTGAGGCGGTCAGGGAGAGCTGGTAAGGAACATCCCTGATAAAAGAACTACACCCGTCATGAGATCTGCATTTTGATTAGAGTCACAACACAAGACTAACAATGAAACCATTTATTAAAACCATCTTTTTTATTCATTTAGACTGGTAGCAAACACCTGTTTGGTTTAATGCGGTTTCAGTCCCAACTCATAACAAGCACACTGGATGAAATCTTGTTTTCTTAAGCTGTGAGTTTGATGGTAATGAGCAGGTAGACATTGTCACATCTTACTAACATCTGTTTTTCATCCTCCAGTTTGTTCACCTGAAGCACTCGAGCCGTTCTGCAGACAGATCCTCCATTTCTCTGTCAGTCAGCAGCAGGGTTGGCACATTGTCATCACAGTATCCTAGCAACCAGTGAGGGATTCCATTCACATACCTCCTTTATATTTCAATGTACAGCGACATCTTCATGTTTTGCTTTGATTTGCTTTTAATCCTTCAAGTACAAAAAAATGCAGATGAGCTGAAGGCCACTGTCAAAGAAACCTGGGCTTCCATGCCACCTCAGCAGTGCCACAAACTGATCACCTCCATGCCACGCCGAATTGAGGCAGTAATTAAAGCAAAAGGAGCCCCTACCAAGTATTGAGTACATGTACAGTAAAATGAACATACTTTCCAGAAGGCCAACAATTCACTAAAAATGTTTTTTTTATTGGTCTTATGAAGTATTCTAATTTGTTGAGATGCACCTGTATTTTTATTATTTAATTAATTTCATAAAATATTTATATGGGAGTATTTGTTGTATTCTCTTTAATTTCTGAGAATTTTAATAAAAAAAAAAAATCCAGATTCCAGACGGTATAATTTTCAATACAGTGAGTTGTGAATTGCAAAAAAACTATTGGTAATTGTACCGAAAAATCTTGATGGTACAAAATAGGCTTAATATAATTGTTATCTTAGAATTTAGAGAAATTGGAGAATTTAATGATTTTGATTAAAGCATCTGCCAAATGCATAAATATAAAAGGGATGGACTATAATTGGGACTTATTGTTATGAATGAGATTCACCCATATGTATGATATTGAATCATGAAATATTTCTGAAATCATGAAAGATGACGAGAATGTTTTGCTTTGATTGTGAAATGAATCTGCAGCCTGTTAGATAGTGGTTTTGTGACTTTTGTAAAAACAGGGTTTGTGAGATTATTTGAAACACAAGCTGATTTAATGAATATCTATGGTTGTGATAATGCCTTTTCACTTTACACTTTCCTGATGTGTGTAACCTTAATATATCATAATATGTTTGTTTTTAGTTCATTAAAGTATTGGACAGTCTTGGTGAAAGGTAAAAACACTTAACTGGTTTTGCAGTATGTGCACAGTGAAACTGGAGAACAGGGACGTTTTAGTATTAAAAATATGCAGGTCTAAACGAATCCCTCTTTTGTCTAGCACTTATAATCTAGCCCATGCTGGCTCTGGTTTAAAACTCATAGCCTAAACTTTTGGTACATTGTTGACTGGAAGTGCCATAAAAATATTATTAAATATTGGCATATTTTTCCAGTTTCTCAAAAAAAAAAAAGCAACACAATTTAAATTAAAATTGCTGCAATTGTAACATACTGTATAATCATCTTGTTATTATCAGAAAATGTAGTTTTTCTGAGCAAGATTATTAAAACTTTATCGTTATAGTTATTGCCCTAGCTGTGAACGGGTCATAAATATTGTCTCAATAATGGCATACTTGAGAAAAAGAAAAGGAGATGGATCTGCATTTCTTATATTTGGCCAGAAATCTATTTTGTTTTTATTCTTATTTTCCCTGTTTCTGTGTCATTTCTTCATATTAATTTTACATGACCTTATTTAACAAATGTAATAAACCATTTACATTGTTTCCCAAGATGGTGGTATTGGAAACAATAAATTTTATATGTTTTTTTTTGTGTGGTAAGCCTTGTGTCTATGTCTGTGACTCCTTTCTAGACACTACTTATTAACAATAAAGTGTTATTAATTGTCTCTAAAATGTAATTATGAACCTACATAAGGCTCACATGCCATGCAGTGTTTTTTTAAATGTTAATCTTTATAAAATTTAATATATTTAATGAAATTGAGTGTTAAAAGACAATAAAACCTTATTATTCACCCCCTTGTACCCCCTTTTTACAAAATACAATCGAATTAAAAATTTATCATAAAAACTTCACTGCAGTTACGCTATTAAATATTACTAAAATTATACTGCAATTTGTACATTGTACACAAAGTTTGTAAATTAATATAAGTTACAATCTTTTAAAATTTGCTTGTGTTTAATAAAGTTGTAGATGTGAGCATATTATTCCTCATGCAGTCTTAAGTAGACATTAGATGGCGCTAGAGGATATGAAAGATGTCATCCAAGGTGTCGAAGAGTACCTGCCCTTTAAAGATAAACTGATGAAGGTCAGGATTTAACTGTGAAAATTAAATAGAAATTAATATTAATTTACAGCTGTACAAGAACAGTAACAACATTGCAAACAACGATTCATTTATAAACTACTTATTAGTGATTCTGTAACACACGTGACAACGCTTACAGATTAACCTTTGCCTGGGTCTTTATGGTTTATGGTTAAATAAACTGCATTAATTTCACAGTTAACACAAACATAGATCTTTACCCTAAGAGGTATAATTAAACACTATGATGTTCTGTTAAAAAGTATTTGGCTATTCCTTGAAATCCACCAATTAACATTAAAGTATAAATATGAAACAAATTTTGAGATTGGTAATGTTTAACACACACACACACACACTTAACTAAATTTCAGGGGTGTGTCCACCTTGAGACCTTGCTGGGAATGAAACCGCAATGCCTAAATCACCTCAAGTGCACTTGCTTATACAACCCTTCTTCTTCCTTTTGGAAGCAGCATTGGTAATCTGAGCAGATTAGGATCTGCTGTGTTTTCTTAATCCCACCACGATTAAAATAGGATTAGAACTCATCTCCTGGCCTCAGTATTACAGTAACTGCTCAGTGGCACTGACACTCTGTCTTTCTGTCCCATAGAGCAAAGGCACAGCAAAAGGGGTCACTTTTGAACTGTCATCTTTTCACTTTTCTCACACTGACAAATACTGTAGGCTACTATACACATACGTATAAAATTAATGGGCATAATTCAACAGTTTAAATATGTAAATTTGTATTCTACAGGACGACCAACCATGTGTTCAGCAATGGCTGCACAAATTTAAAGACAATATGGGAAAAGGACATTGGGGCTGTAATCGGGGACGAAGAGTGGAAAAGAATTTTGCCAAATACAGGTAAATACGTAAGAGAAGCCAGAGGGCAATTTACACAGTACAAAATCATACACAGGTTCTATCTGACACCTCTTAGACTTAATAGAATGGGTCTGACAAATAATAATGTTTGCTGGAAATGTCAAAAGGACAGAGGTACTTTTATTCACTGTATCTGACTGGGAGTGTCCACTTATTCAGCCTTTATGGCACCAAATTTTAAATGGAATAACAGTACCATTATCACCAAAATTGTGTCTATTGGGAGACAGGGAGCAGATGCCAAATATTTCAAATGGAGAGTTTGCATATATTTGTAAATGTTAAACTGTGTCTTCTAGTAGGCCTATAGTAGGCCTACAGTTAATAGTTATTTTACCATTTATGATGAACAATTTTTATATTAAATATTTAATATATTAAAATTTGTTAAAATTAATGCCTACACACTCACACACACAAACACAATATTAAGAACACACACTTTTATTTATACGTTAACTTACATTATAACATTTGCTACATCATGGATTTTGAAATGGCTGGCATTTCTATAGAATTGTCTGTATACTAAATACAAAGTTTAATATAAAGTTAAAGGTATGTTTTCAATTATGAAATTACATTTTATGTTAGCCTATTTTTTTTAAAGGCGCACTAACTCTTTATCGGCATCTGTGGTTAAAGCTGCAGTCCGTAAGTTTGGCCTCTTTGTCGCCATCTCTGTTTGAAAACCTGCAATTGCAGCTGTGTGCGGAATTATCTTCCTTGCGTGGGTTGTACTCTGGCACGGCTCCAGCGCGGATGAATCTAATGTTTTGAGGAGTATGTGTGGCAGTCAGTCACTGCACCGGTGTGGATATTGTACTTTGC